TTAAAATTTTGTGTAAAATTTTTGTATTGACGAAGTTTATGAAATATTCTTTTTTTCACTTCTGAAATTTTTTTCTCTTTAGCTTTCTTTGATATTCAATCAGGTTAATTCAAATGAAGTTTCTTCAATTAGAATGCTATCGATTTTAATGTTGATCTATACAAAAATGACAAGTGTCTTAACGTCTATTATCCATAGTTTTTCATTCAGAAAACCTTGTCTAAGACTAAAATCAAAGACATATTCTGAAAACTCTTGAAAATTTCTACAACTCTAGCTGAAAAAATAATTTTAAAAAACCACAATGCAATAAAAAAAGATATTGATTGACTTCCAACAGATCGCGCCAGAAGCTTTGCACGTAACCTGTCGCTATGATTTCTCATAAACTGAAGCATAGGGGAACTTGAGTTTTTCAGAAGTGAATCATCATCTTTAGGCTAGTAAAACAAAAAAAGTTTATTAAAATTGGCTGACTAGAACTCGACTTATAGCGCATGATGATCTCATTGCAAAGCAATATTAGATAAAACAAACAGTTTGTATTCATTGTTGTTTTAATCATGTTGATGTTGTTAAATTCGTTTCATGATTTTGATTATCGTCCGATATTAATGTTGGTGTTTATAACTCATCTGATTCAATGAGTTCGTCAATTGTAGCTTTTCTAACTATTGATTCTCGATTTTTTCGTTCATTTCGACGTCGTTCAACATTATCTCGGAAACCTTTTAAACCCATTCGACTCAAATGAAGTTCATGTTGACGTTGTACTGTTGTTGTTATAGGATGATAATTTTTTGGACGATCTTTTTTTATATCAATTGATGTATTAGCTTCACTATTTACTACTGATACATTAAATATACCTAGAAAATATTTTGTAATACCATCAAATATATCAACATAATGTATACGATCATGTTCACATATTGGTAAATCCATAGCAGCAAGTGCTAATTGATTTGGTTTAGGAATACGTAATGGTGGTTCAAGACTATCAATAAAATCTGATAATTGATCATATTGTATAAATTGTGAACCTGATGGATCTAAACGTTGCCATTTTTCACAACACATATCATAATCATCATCTGTCAAGCCCTACACAAAAAAAAAAACAAAATAAAAAAAAAGAACTTTTTTTGCATCTATGTACTTGTTGTACATCTTCTTGTGCTTGAGAAAAATTTTCTAGTATTACTGCAATATACATATTTACCTAAATGATAATACGAAATCAGAAAATTTCAAAATAAAAGTTTTTTTTTTGAATTCTTACCACAACAAGAGAAGTAATTATTACATAACTTACTAGATATGATGTTGCAATAATTGTATCACCACAATCACCTTTATTTGATGGTGAAATTATAGTTGGATCACAATCTGGTGGTTGATCATTTGTTAATGCTTGAAAAACATCAGACCAACCAGCATTTGTACATATGTGAAAAAGTACAATCATTGAATTAGGAAATGTTTCAAAATTAAATAAATCTGTTATACCAGCTGATTTTCTTACATAAGCAAAAAATGACATACCAAATATTGAATAGATAAACATGATAAGGAAAAGAAAAAGGCCAATATTAAACAAGGCAGGCACCGAAACAGCATATGCAAACATTAATATTCGAATACCTTTTGCTCCTTTATTTAAAAACAAAATGAAAATAAAAATTTTAAAAAAATCTACGATTCATTCATTCCTATTAAATTGAACCTTTCACAAAACGTAATATTCTTCCAACACGTGCAACGCGAACAACACGTAATAATGTTGGATTAATAAAATATTTTTCTATAATTTCTTCTAATAGTCCTCCTAGAAAGAAAAAAAAAAGAAATAACATTTTTAATAAAAATGAATAAGAAAAAAAAAACGACATACTAAGAATTGATCCAATTACAATGATAAAATCAAATAGATTCCATGGAATAGTAAAATATTTCAAATTTAATGCAATTAATTTCATAACACATTCAATAAAAAATCTAAATTAGTATATCAATATATAACAAGAGACAATAGCCAATCTCATAAATCTTAAACATTACAGATTTTAGTTCTATGTAATCAATAATTTTCGTTTCTAACAATCGAATTGAATAATTTTTTTTCACATATTACTTAGGACACATCAAAAGTAATGAGATTGTGTACTGCACTTAACATTCAATGGAAATTGATTTATGATGAATTAAGAGAAACTACTTCAAACATTTGATGAAATAAAATCTTCAATAACTTCTGTATTTTTCTTCAAAATCTCATCACTTTTGGTATGCTCTAAGTATTTCTCTACCACTATCCTATATGTATACCTAATTTCCGCTCTTTGTCATGCATTGTCACTGAAATAATAAAAAACGAGGAAAAAAAACATTAAGTTTTATAAAAGAGATCCACGAGTCGTGGTGTTACACTGCTCCATCCCGTTATGGGGCGATACTAAAATTGTCAATGGTGAAAAGACGGTAGAACACCGCCAGATTGCAACGGCTTTCATGCCTTTTGACGATACTGTTCTTTCTTTTAAAACTAATGATCGTATACCTCCGTCAACTTATATAGAGGGGTAGGATCGTCTATGGAGAAATACGAAGCAAAACAGAGATCATAGACAACCTCCGTGTCAAGTTTTTGTGATTGGCTTAGTACCTAACTAAACTAGAATATTCAACTTTTCCTATGGATATCTTATAGTGGAATTCTCCTGTTTCAGATTAGTGCTTGTGGGAAATTTTTGCACCTTCATAGGTCGATAATTATCAGAATTGTTTTCATCTAGATAAAAATGAATGAAACTAATTGGTGCGTCCTTATTTACAACCGAACTTGTCTAGCATAGGTTCTCAATAAGTTTGAAAAATAATCGTCTCACAAATTGCTTTTTTGATGATCAGGCAGAGCGGGATAGGACTTCAATGAATCAGCGGCGGTGAGGCGAATTTTTGGCTGTCTCACAGGTTTCTATACTATGCATTGTGAATTGTTTCCAACTAATTGTTCTGCTTGTAATGCTAGCTAAATTGACTTGAGTCTCTACCATGAATAAAGCAAATTTTGTTTATTAAATTTAGCAGAAGTTAAATTTACCAGTGCGTATCCCGCTTAATATTCCGTAACCTGTGAAAAAACTTTAGTTGAATAACATAAACTAAGAGTATAATAAAATTTGTAATTCACTCATATGTACGATATAGAAGAGAATATGTATGAAATTTTCAGTAATATGTAAGAGAGCCATAGTTTAGACTGATCAATACTCATTCAACGGACAGATTACGAACTTATTATTGATTATTTGCTTACATTGCAACGAAAAAATGATTAATATATTCAAGAACAAGATCATAAGTATCACTTTGATTATAATGTTCAAGACACATACAAAGCATATTAAGAAAAATACATATCATTATAAATGTATCAAATTTTTGATTTGTTGTTAAATCAAAAAGAAATCTTCCAAGAGCAAACTAAAATAAACATAAAATTAATATATATATATATATTCATCTATTTGAAAAAGTTACTCTTGGTCTTGATAATGCTTTAGTTGGTTTTTTATTACTCATTTTTTTCATAGCATTATAATATTTTTTTTGATCTTCTGTCATCAATATATGTATTGAACTATCAGCTCCTAACTAAAATTTAAAAAAAAAAAAGAACAACATTTTGCTATTATTTTTTTTGTCATCTTGTTAAAGTAATAAAAAAACTTAATTTTCGTTTTTGTTCATTAAAATTATCAATAACAACACCAACAAATAAATTGAGAGTTAAAAATGAACCAAATATAATAAATAAAACAAAATAAATAAGGCTATAAACATTAATCTCATATTCTGGTTGAGCATCTATCTAAAATATTGTGTTATAAAAATATAAACATAGATGTCAAAAATAAAAAACGAATAGAAATAGTTGTATACTTCTTTAGCATCGGTTGCATCAGCCATTATTTCAAGCCAACCATTGAAAGTTGCCTATTTGAACAAAATAAAAGTATAAATTTAATTCTTATCAGAACAACTATGCAAATATTCACAAACTAAGTTATTAGTGTAATCACTGCAGAATTCAAATGTGAAACACGATTAGAGATGTGCGTGGTCAACTATTGTTTCGATCTCGATCATCGGAACCAAGACTACGAGAAAAAAATCGTCTCAACTGGAACTAACAAGGGAACATTCCCAGATGCTGGAGCGCATCTTGTAGTCCATAGTAAGCTGTGTCTATGGGAAAAAAAGTTTGGGTTTCTGAGAAGATTCTGAAATTTTTTACGCAAATTAGTCTAACTGAGGCCTTTATGCAGGCAAAGTTAAAGGTCAAAATTCGAAAGTATAGCTTTGGCAAATTCACTAGGAACTCGATATCTCCTCAGAAACAAGCCAGAAACCCGAACTTTTTTTACCATAGAGACAGCTCACTATAGGCTACAAGATATGCGAAACTCTGGCTGAGAAGCGCTTCGGCACCTGGGAATGTTCCCTTGTAAGCTAGAGAAGAAGTTACCGAGACCGAGATCAAAACAATATGGTCCGACATATGTCTAAGCACAATATAACTGCGATTGCTAATTACAGGGAGATTGTTTTAGTCTATCTATTTTGGGACACATTTCTTTATCTAATCCTCCAGAAATGCAATAAGCAAGTACTAACGAGTAGGGAGCTGCAAGTTCTGGTCCAGATCCACAAAAACATAGATTCTCAACTCTCTAATAACGAGATGTTATTCTTATACAGTCTGTGATCGTATATCAACAATATTTGTCGCAGTCTACAACGTGTGGAGCGATACTAACATATCTGTCACTGTCTATAAGCATTAGTTAATCTTTGATTTTATTTATTAAATCGAATTAAAATAACTTACAATTTGAAATAAAGCTAAATAACCATTAAAAACATTATCAAAATTAATTCGTGAATTTTCCCATGTAAAATTTTTATTTAAACAATCAATTTTATTCGTTATATTTTCTGATATATTAACACGATCATGTGTATCAACATAGACACATTTATAAAATTTTCTACCAAATAATTGTACACCCCTAATTGAAAATAGCAACCAAAATACAAGACAAACAAGTAAAACATTAAAAATTGATGATATAGCACCAAATAATGCTTTAACAACAATCTAATTTGAAATAAATAAATAAATAAATAAACAAACAATTAAATTAATTATTTTCATACTCGAATTCCTTCAAATCTTGACATTGCTTTTAATGAACGTAATGCTCTTAATGTTCTCATTGATTTAAACATTGGAATATCAGCTACATCAAATATATCAAGAATAATTCCAAGAATACTAACAACTACAATAATAAAATCTAACCAATTCCAACCATTTGTAAAATAATTTTTTATTCCATATGCAAACAATTTTAATATTAATTCAATTACAAAAATAAATGCAAAAATTTTATCAAATGTAGCTAATACTTCAAAAAATGTTGGTTGTTGTCTTGTATTTACATCTTCTAAAGCCTTTGTAGAAAGGAAAAAAAAATTTGTTTTTTTTTTTGTTTTTATCTAATTATCAACTTACTAAAGTTGTACTACTAGTTAATATACTAATAATAATAAACCATTTAAAAAAACGATGTTCAACAAAACGATGAACTAGACTACGTAGATATGTCCATTGTTCTTGAATAAGTTTTGGTATACATTTAGTACAACAAGAAAAAGATTTTGATATTATTTTAGGACAACAATCTGGTGGTATATGAAGAATTTCACATGTTGGAGAAGATGATTTCATAGAATTATTATTCATTGGTTGCATTTCAATTTCTTTATATTTTGTTGATAAATCATTCGTTAAAAGTACTGAAGCATTTGTATCTTCTAATGTATATGATGTTGGTAAAGAAAGATAATTAACTGATTCTTGTCTAGCAGAAGGTGGCTAAAGAAAGATCATAAAATCAAATCGAATAATAAATTAATAAATAATTGAACAAACTTGATTATCAGTTACAAATTCATTGATATTATTTTCGATAGAAATCTTTTTTTGTCGTTGTTTTTTTCGACAAAATAAATGAAACATAAATTCAATTAGAAAATAAACAAATCGTTTAATACGATCAATTGCTTCACCAATTTTATTTTCATCATCTTCTTTTTCTGTTAAATTATTTGAATCAAATGATGCAAGTAAAAGTGCCAAAAATAAATTTAATATCTATAAATATTAGCAAAATTAGAACGTATCCTATATCTATTTAATCAAGAAAAAAAAAGACTGACGAGAGAAGCTCCCCAACTTACGGACACCGGTCGACTTGATATTATGGTTCCGAGGTAGGTCTCTATGAGATTAAGAAAAGCCTAACAGGATTCGTGCTCATGGCATATTGATGAAGAGTTATAGCCGTTTAACTGAATTTTGGCCCTGTAGCAAAGGATTTCCGAAAAGACCGAATCAAAGAATTTCGACCTGAAATTTGGTGCATACATAGGTCAAAGTCATTTTCCACAGACAGGTTATAAAAACCGAATTTATTCGACAATTCAATATCTCGAGAAAGGAACATTCGTTTTGGCCAAAACTTTCACGCAATTCTAATGATCATTAGACCTATCTATGGGCAAAATTTCAGGTCGAAATTCTTTGATTCAGTCTTTTCAAAAATTCCTTGCCACAGGACCAAAATTCAGTAAAAAGGCTATAACTCTTTGTCAATATGCCAGGGACACGGACCTTCTCTCGTAAGATATTCTCTGTTTGTTGAAAAGAAATACATTACATACCACAAGATTACCAACGACAAATGTCAATAGAAAAAATGGAATACATGGCCATCCAGCACATTCAAGACATATCCACATTGATTCAATCCATTCACCACATAAGACACGAAAAACAATCCTTAAACAAAGAACTAATCTTTTTTTTTTATATAAACTTATTAAGTAAAATTTACATGAATGCATGAAAAAAATCAAAAAAATTCCATCTTGGCATATTTTTACCAAATTTATTTGCATATTTATCACCAAATAACTATAAATCACTAAGAATAAATTCATTCAAAATTTTTATTCAATTTACCTGCATTCCCATAACAGCAAACATAAATATTATAATAATAAGAACCAATGTTAAATTTCCTAAAGCTCCTATTGATATGCCAATAATTGTCAGGAGACGATTCAATGTTTGCCAAGATTTAGCCAATTTAAATACACGTAACTTAACAGAATATTAAAAGAAAAATCAAGAATTCTATTGCAATTACTTACTAATCGAAATAAACGTAAAACACTTAAACCATTTATATCAGCAAGACATAATTCAATAAGACTACCTGTAATAATTAATAAATCAAATACATTCCATCCATTTTTTAAAAATTTAACTGGTGTCAATGCAATTATTTTTAGTATAAATTCAGCTACAAAGATACTTGTAAAAATATAATTGCCTGCTGTTAAAATTCGTGTCATTTTTTCACTTTGACCAGGTTGATCAAGTGCCATAAATAATGTATTTAATATAATACATATTGCAATAAATAAATCAACAAATGCATCCAATATAAAAAAAGCAATAGCATCCTTTAAAAAACAGATATATGACTATTTTATGAATTTGTTGTAAATAGGAGGCAGTATTTATAAGACAGACCTTAATGAGAGTGATCTATTGTGAAAGTTTTAGGTCTTCTCACTGGCTCCTATGCTAGAGAATAAGAACATTGAATCCATTAGTGTGCATATCAGCAATGTTATAAATAAGCTTTTATCATAGCCATACCTCATGATAGAAGCAATGAAAAGATCTGAAACTTTCACAATAAAGTATTCTTGTTAAGTCATACCTCTATGCAAAGTTTTAAGTCAAAATTCGAAAATAAATTTTTCTAATGTTTCTGAGATGATCATAGTATTGAATTAAAAAATCAGTTGGAGGAGTTCCATCGTAAGACTTAAGTATCTCGTATTAATATTTGATAACAAACTTGTTATGTATAAATCAATCTCGGAGTACTTTATACTTCTATTGACGAAACAATTTAGATCTTGTCCTTCACTTTTGACGTAAACCATCGAGTGAGAACATTCTCATATGTTTCTATCAGTGTCCGACATGGGTCACTTTTTTTGTGACTCATGTCGGACACTGATTTCTATGCTTTCAAGCTGAGACATTATAATCTAATAAAAACGTACTTGAAATTTTCGAAATATGGATGATTCACAACTCCATTCCCAACAATAAATTCGTAGAAGTTTAACTAATGTTCGATTACATGTGTTGTTTGTATCCATATCTAAAATGATGATGATGTTCATATGTCTTTTATAATGATACTATAATTATCGTTCATGTTCATATATACTATAGACATGCATAAATAACAAATAATCAAAATTATAGGTGTGTTGTTCTACTGTTGATATTTACAGAGTGAGAATTGAAAGTTAAAGGAGGAAAAAAGAAAAATTTTGTTAAACAAGACATGGAAAAATGAATCGATCTTACAATACGACTTACTTTTTGATCGAACACTTATTCTATCCAATTCTTGTGCAGGTAATACTTCAGTAATTGGAGTATATTTTATATGCGATCTGTCTTGATAAAGCTTTAAGATAAATTTAAAAAACAAAAAAAGATTCAAATTTATTTTCTTTTTACTGTAATAGTTGTATCATTATCATTTTGATTTCGTTCTGATAAATAAGGATCACTATTTGTTCGTTGACTTTTTCTATCTTCATTTGCTGAATTTTGTTGTGTTTCGTCAATAAATGGTATTATTGTAGCATCAGACAAAATAAAACTTGACTTATTTAATTCGTTTGTCTAAAAATTTTACTTTAAAAAACAAGAAAAAAAATTTTTTCAAATTATTTACTTTTCCATTTTGTTCATATTCAATAGAAACACTTTTGTGAGATGAAATTTTACGATTTAAATCTTCAAAACATTGTACATTTTCAACATGTGAAAGTGTCTGAATTTCAGATGTTTTTCGTATTTCTTCATTTTGTATTTCAAGTTTATCTCGAGTTTTACGTCTTTTACGTTCTTCATTTTCAATTTCAACTTGTTTTTGTTGTTGTTGATAAGACATGAAGACAATAGCTAAGATTAAATTAAGTAAATAATATGAACCAAAAAATATAGCAGCAACAAAATATAAAAAATGATAACGACCAACTGCTGACAGTATCTAGATTAAAACATAATAATAATGATAGATTATAGAATTCGTTTTTCTTTTACTAATTGATAAAGATTTTCCCAATAATCTTGTGTCATTAATCGAAAACACGCAAGCATAGCCCAACCATAATTATCAAAACTGTAAAAATAGAAATTAAATATGAAAACAAAAGTAAATTAAATCTACCTTGTATATCCAAAATCAGGACTACAAAATAATAAAATTTTCTTAAATTAATGATTAAAAACAAAAAAACAAACTTACTTTTTGCCTCGATTTTTCCAACAAACATAACCTGGAGGACATTTTGTACTTCCACTTTCATTACCACAAAGAAGAAAAATGTCATTTTCTTTATGCCAATAAGCTGTAAAAGTAAAAATTGAAAATTAAATTATCAAAATATGGCCTATTAAGAATAGAAAAAGTGCTCAAGATAGTCATATAGATATCAAATTTCACAAGCATTGTGATAATTTCAATCTTACTGATTAACAATAATGATAAACAAGTCTTCAATCCTTTTGAAGAATTCATTAGAATTAGAGAGATATTTTATTTGATGTGCCATCGAAAAAAAAAATTATTTCATTTATTCAGCAAATAAATATTATAAAGTAATCAAATTTATTAACCCTTTGGTTATGGGGTTGTTCTAACAATAAAAAAAGCCTTTGGTTTTTGCCAAAAAGCTTAAAATAGGATGTATACATGTAGGATAGTCTTTCACAATGACACTGGGATTCTGCCACTGCAAAAGCACTCTTAAAATCTAACTGAGAGATATAGTCCTACAAAATTATTTTATCCTATACTATCGTGTAGTGCTTCAGAGTACAACCTAAACAGAATAGGTCAAGATTAGTGTATAAGTGTTGGCGTAACCACAGCAATAGCATTTGCGACAATACATAAGGAGTGAAGCGTGTTGCCTTACGAGTAAATACTTTCTGGTTTATGCATAGAAACATTGTATCTAAGTAGCATCCTGTACTGCATCTTATGACAGAAATGTTTTAGTTACATCGTTAAATACGACTCCTGTAGGATAGACTAGAGCAAGGGTACAAAGAAAGACATTGAATAAGATACAGCACGAAAAGCCATGCTTTTTCGGAATTCTATTACAGCGAAAAAGCTATAATTGCAACAGAAATAGTTCGAATGAAAACTCAGCCCGTATATATACGGGCCCCGTAACCAAAGGGTTAAAATCATCATTTGAATTATGTACTTAGAAGAGAAGAACATAAGTCATTATAATTTGCCTTATGAGTATTAATACTGATGTAATACATAATCATCAACTAATCATATCTAGACTCGGAAATTTTTCTATCAATAGATTAATCGAAAAAATCTTTTCATTTGATCGTAATAAATGAATTTTTAACCTACTTTCATTATCAATTTCTTTCAAATAGACTTTATATGTCATATTAAATCCAATATTGTAAAGATTTGAACTATTTAAAAAAGATTCATAAGTTGGTACACATTTTTGTCGAAGAACGCTCATATAAAGTTGTAATCCGATCTATAATTAAGAACATAACTTATTCAAACAAAAAAAAATTTTTTTTTTCTTGTCTAAATCTCAAACCAAAGCAAATATAGAAAGAATAAAACTTGATAAAATCATCACATCTCGTAGAGAAATTAAAGATTGTATTAAAGCACCAACAATTGTTTTTAAACCTAGAACAATCAATTAATTAACTATCTATAAAATATTAAACAATATACCAGGTACAACTGCAATAGTTATTAATACACGAAATATTCGTAGTACTGCAACATTTCCCAAATTGATAAAAAATGTTACATATCTAAAAATAATCAAGCAAAAAAAAAAGAAAATTTCAAAATAACATATTTTCTTATCTTTTTCATACATACGCAAGTATAATTACAATAAAATCTAACCAATTCCATGGATCACGTAAAAATGTATATTTTTCTAGAATAAATCCTCGTGCAACACATTTTATTAACACTTCAAGTGTATAAATTGTTGTAAAAACATATCTATTTATTTTCAAATTGAGAAAAAGAAGACATTATATTACTAAGAAGATTATCACCTACTCATTCACTTCTGATATATTTTTAAATGTCATAAATACACAATTAGTTAATATAGTAAGCATAACCAATGTATTAAAAAGTGGATGTATTAATATACGTATAGCTAAATGTCGAAAATAATTAAATGGAGAAAATATAAAACAAGCTGATGTTGCACTAAATCGAAATATTGTGTTATTTCGATTAATAACCATAAATGCCTATGATTTTAGAAATGCAAAAAACAAAAGAAAAAAGGTTTTTTTTAATAAGATGAAATTATCAATGATTATTCATACATAGTCTGTACGATAATAAGAATCGATTTCTTCAATTGGTTCTCCAATAAGTTCAGATGGAAATCTATATTGTAAAATTCGTGGTAATATTTCTCCAACGGCCAATTCCTTATTAGGCATTCGTTTAGGTTTCATTGTTTCATTTTTTAATGACTTAATCATACAACGATGTTTATCATTATCATCTTTACATATTGTTTGTTGTTCTAATTGTTCAGAAGCAATACATTCAGATTCTTCTTGTCGATAACGTTCAATACGTTGGAATGATTCGTGTGTAAATTCTCGAAAGACAATCCAACTATAGTTCATCCTGATTGTCAACACTTATATCTGTTATATTAATAATTCATATAATTCACTTTGTAATTTCTTCGAAAAATGTTGATGAAAAAATAACAAGCCATTTCTGAGAATCATATTTTACTTATAAGATTTTCTTTTCTATGTATCCAAATCTATTTATCTGAAACTAGATGTTGAAATCTATACATATTTTTCTATAAGTCTATTCAAATACCTGAAACTACCATACAGGTCGAACTTGGAAGTTGAATTTAATTACTCAAGAATTTTGAAAAAAAAATTTGCCCTCATAACTAACCTTTCATATCTGCATCGCAACATGAGGTCACTACGCACTTTTCGAAGAACGACGAACCATATTCATCCTTGTTTACACGATAAAATGTATCTTTTTTTATGTTTTGGCATTACAGAAAACAATGTACAGATTTAGACGTGTAGAACTTATATAATAGAATGTATAGAAGTGTGTATAGAATAGAATGTATATAATGGAACAAATAGAAAAATGTATAGAATAGAACGTGCAAAAGAATGTTTACAACAGAACGTGTGGAAAGACATGTATAAGAAACATCATGAGAAGCTATAGAATAACATAAACCTAAGCGGATCAGAAAAAGTTGGATATTTTTTTTATTGTTTCCGATTGAAATAATAAACCTGATGGACTCTAACAATTATATATATAAGTAATATTCTAAATTTGAACATCAAAGTTTTGATAGTTTTTTCACATACTTTGGTTCATCAAACAATAAGTATAATATTAGACCAATATTTAAGATACATATTTCAATTTAAATTTATTCAAATAACATAAAATACCGATAAATTATATTAAAATTAATTATGATGTTTAGATCGATTGAAATATATTTTTGAATTTTATAGTCATATTTCATTAAAGTTTCAGCAATTTTAATCGATTAATAAAGTTTAATTAATTAAAATGGATTCAAATCTAACAATCGCATAAAATCGATTGAAAATTAAATAGTCTGTTTACTATCAGATAATAAAAGTATCATTTTTGAATGTCAGATTTTTGTTTTTTTCTCTGTCTATTTTTTTCTTTACATAAGTTACGACCTTGGACCCATGATTGATAGTAGTCTAAGAACATAATCTTGAATAAAACACAAAATTCTCCAGAGACGTCACGTAGTATTACTATAAATATCTTTTTCTTTGATAAACTTCATTTGATCGTTTCGTTGATTCAAACATATATGCAACGAAGAGCGAATAAATATACAAAAGACAAAATTCGATTAAATAAAATGTTGACACGTCGGCACAAGACCGACTATTTTGATTGATTTAAATATGCCACTAGTTTAGTTTGTCCATAGGAATCTGTCAGTCTTATGTTGACATGTAAACAATTTTGTCTGCATATTGTTATTATCAATCTATGTATGTAATGTTGAAAACTTTGTTTTTATTCATCAAAATGCCTTTGTCTTGTTTTCCACTGTTCGCAAATGAAATGTAATTGAATTTATACAATAAAAGAATGTTAATCATGATAAATAATCTGAACTAGAATAAAAACTCAAACTATCTTTATGAAAAACTTTTATTAGATGGATGATCTCGTGAACTAGATCGCTTTTTAAGGAAAAGCCATGGAGAAAGGAGATTAAGTTAAAGTATTTTGAGCACATGAGATTTATCATGAAAAAAAAATAAAACTTTCACATAAATCATCCAAAATAGTTAACATTTAGTCAATTGATTCAATTGAATGAAAAACACAAATAACAGATCTGCTATGTGTGCTTATCATTAGAGAGTATGCATATATATTTATCTTAACTAATCAATTTGTCTAAAAGCATAGAAGAAAACATATATTATTCAGATAATATATGTTCCTTCTTCTTTCTATGTATCTATATATTGTTGTTAAATAGACTATCAAGATAATTCATAGACCGGAATTGATGTCTTTCTGACAGTGTTAATGGTTCTATGCTCATCCATCAATTTGAGAGATAATCAAACAGTCTCGTTTGTTAAGTTTTAAATTTCATCAAATAAAAATGAAATTTGAAATCAGTAAATAATAATAGATTGAATGTTAAACAGATGTTTTTGACCTAATTCTTTTTGTTTTTTTTATAAGTACAAAATATAACATAATTATAG